CCCCGGGCCGGGGCGGGGGTCTGGGGTGTCCTGCTGCCCTGCCCCCCCTCTCCGGTCGGCGCCCCCTCCCCCCTTGCGGCGTTGGTGGCGGCGGGGCTCGGGCGGCGGGCGGCGCGGAGGGCGGAGCTCGGCGGCGGCTCTGGAGGGAGGGCGGGAGGCGGGAGGGAGGCGGCCCCGCGGCACCGCGCCCCCTCCCCCGGCCCTCCCCCCACCATGGCGCGGAGCGAGGCGGCGGCGGCGGGGCCGGGCCCGGGCCCCCCCCGGGCTGGGTGAGCGCGGCCCGCAGTGGCCCGGGAGGCAGCGGGCGGGGGCGCCGGTGTGAACGCGGGTGTGAGCGCGCGAGCGTGAGTGTGTGTCCGCGGCTCTGCGGCGGGCCCGGCGTGCGCTCGCGCGGCCCTGTGTGTGCCCGGCGCCGGCGTGTGCGGCGCCTGCTTGTGTGGCCATCCGGGTGTGTGCTGGGTGCCGAGCCGAGGTGCTGGGACCGGCCGTGCGTGTGTGTGTGCCTGAGCGGCTGCCCCTCCGGCTGGGTGTCTCGGGGGCTGTCGCGCGCCCATCGGAGGGGCTGTGTGCAGGTGTGTGTGCGTGGGTTGTGTGCCCAGGTGTGGGTTCCCCCCAGCCAGTGTGTGCGCTCGACCAGCAGCGTTGCGTGTTTGTGTCCAGATTGGATGTCCATCCGAGGGTCTGTGTAGCCGGGTGTGCCAGCTCCGGTGTTCATTTGTGTGTGTGTGTGTGTGTGTGTGTGTGTGTGTGTGTCTGCGGGTTGTATGTCTCTGAGGGTGTGTGTCTGTGCATCCACGTCAGGTTCCCGGCCGGGGGGCTGGGATCAGCGCCTTGTGGGTCCAGGCCTCGGTGTGGTTTGGGGGAAGGGAGTTTGCCGTTCCCTCGGTCCATGTCAACTGGGTGGGGGGGTCCTCAGCGGTCCTTGGGGGAGACGGCCATGTCTTCCCCTTCCCGGTGGCTGGGTGGGGGGGATGGGCGGTTGGTAGGTGGACAGATGGAGGGATGAAAGGCCGAGGGATGGACAGATGGGCCCGAGGGGAGGCATGCAGACCTGGCCCTTCCCCACCCAACCCACCCCAATTCCCACACCGGCCAGATCTCAGATGGGGCCAGAGTTGCCTGCATCCAGATGGCCAGGCATGAGGACCTTTGGGCTGCTGGTGGGAGGTTCGCTTTGGACTAGTGCTGTAGGACTCAGTTCCCCAATCCTCTGAGATTCCACCTGCTGAACTCTGACCTCTGGCCCTGGTTTGTGCTCTTGTGGTGGGGAAGGATATGGTGGGAAGGAAGGATGTTAGGATTTCTTTGGCCTAGGAAGTAGGTGGGGCAAGAGTGCCTCAGGGCTGGTAGAGATGTGTGTCCATGTATGTGTGAGAGTGTGAATGTGTGCCTATCTGTTGACTGTCACTGCGGTTCAATATTTGTAAGTGTGTAAATCTCTTACAGGGCTGTTGTGTGAGCATGTGCCTGTTATGAGTTAACATCTCGGAGTGTCCTCGGAGTGTCTGTGCAAAGGTAGATCTTTTTGTGCCTGTGTGCTTGTTTGAGGATCAGCCTCGTAAGTGTGTGTGTGCTTGTGGCTCTGGGTATGTGTGTGAGGTGTGTATTAGTTAGTGTGTGCATCTGTTGGTATAGGAATATATCAGGTTTGTGACTGCATTGTGGATATATGTGAAGTTGTCTGAGCGTATTTGGACATTTAAGAACATGTACCTGTGTATCTTTGAATGTGCAAGTGAGTATATGTTATATGTGTGTGCCCCTGTGTATTGGTGAATATATAGGGTATATCTGTTATAGGTGCATGTACCTTGTTGTCTGTAAGGGTAGGTACATAGGTTTGTGTGTGTGTGTGAATGTGCAAGGAACAATGTTGTACATGTGTGATTATATACAGGTGTGTCAACCTTGAGGGTATGTGTCTGTCTATGTTGTGCATTCATTTATGTGTTAGTGTTGGTCTCTCAAGAGCGGGGTTGTGTATGTTCAAACATATATGTGCAGGACTGTGTGCACACACATGCCTATGTCCCTGGCACAAGGCTGACCCTGCTTCTGGGTCCAGTGAGACTGTGGCATGTATGCTGGGGTCCAGCCTGGGGTTCATGGACACAAGTGTGTCCACATCCCAGGCCAAGAGCCAATGGAGGGAGCAGGGGGCACAGAGATCATGCTGATGTGTCCATGGAAATGCAGGTGTAGAGACTTGGGTTGTGGGCCCATGTGAGTTTTAGCATGTTCACATATGTGTGACAATGATGTGATGGTGAACATGGAAACCTCTGATCCCTCCCAGCTCCTGGTACCACTGAAGTCTTTGAAGTTGGGAGACTGGGATGTGAACTCTGGAAGGAGGAGGCTGGAATCCTGGAAATGAAGGATAGGGAGGATGGGACCTAATTCTTGGGTCTTGAGAATGGAAAGGACTGAGACCTGGGCTCTTGAGTTTGAGGGAGGAGAAGGGTAGGGTTCTAGACTCTAGGGTCTTGGGGGAGGAGAGAGCTGGTATCACTGGCCTCTTGAGACCCCAGAGGACAAAGGGCTCAAGTCTTGGACTCCTGAACTTTGGAGAGTAAGCAGTCCTAAGGCCAAGACTCCTTGGTTTGCAGAGACTTTCTGGGTCCATCTGAGGTTATGTAGAGCCTGCAGCAGGAGGGCCGGGAGTGACCACACTGGGGACTTCTTTGGCTGAGCTGGTCTTTGAGGCAGACCTCCAGAGAGGAGCCAGAAGGATGCTAACAGGGTCGTTTTGTTCCTTTGCAGGTACTGGCCCAGGCCCTGACTCCCTGAAGAGAGGTGAGTGGGGTCCCTCAGGCTGGGGAGAGAGACTTAGAGTGGTTGGTCTTGTTCTGAGCCTGGAGCCCTGCCTTGTAAGGATTTCAGTGTAGGGTATGGCAGTGTCCTGAGGCGCCAGGTGCCCCCCAGGTTAGGAGCAGGGTGGTGACAAGATCAGGAACATCATGTTTGGGTAAGGGCTCAGAGTAGAGCCAGGACACGGATGGCAGGTGGGGGGGTCTGAGGCCTGGAGGCATTTCTTCTCAGGATGGGTAAGGTGGTCGGGAAAGAGGGTTTCCTCATGATATCAGTAAAGGGTACAAGAGAATTTCATGACATGCAATGACTCCTGCATTTGGAGAGTGGCATGAGTGTGGTTTACCATTTTGTGTGTGTATGTACGTGTATGTGGGGAGGTCTCCTGGCAGTCCAGTCTACTGGTGGCTGAAAGGGAGCCAGAGGAAAACAATAATAATAATAGCAGCTGACATTTATGTAGTGTTTACTCTGTCAGGAACTAAGCATGTTACACTGCCTTATCTCATTTAATCCTTACGACAACCCGATGAGGTAGGTACTCTTGTTATCTCCATTTCACAGAGGAGCACACTAAGGCACAGAGAAGGGAAGTCACTTGTCTAGAGTCACGCAGCAGGGAATTGGGCTGTGAACTCAGGCAGTCGGGTCCAGATTCTGTCCTGCAGTGCTGCACTGCCTCTTGAAAAATGTCAGCTATTTCATTGCTATTATGGTTCCTTCAACTTGAGTCTCACCCCAACTGCGGGAGGTGAAACTCTGTACTTCTGTATCATAGATTGGGGTATGAGCCCAAGAGGACCCACAGCCAGGCAGGTGTAGAGCGGGATCTCCTAACTCAGGAGTTCCACCTTCCAGGCCAGGGTTTTCTGTCCAATACAGTGTCCCGGAGGGAGTGCCGGACAAAGTAGGAGGGGCCTCAGAGATAGTGGGCCCCCTGCCTCTGCCTCTTCTCTCTCCAGCCCAGTCACTGTGTCCCTCAGTCACTCCAATGTCTTTGTCTCTATATAGTACTCTGAATCTCTCTTCCTGTCTCTCCCTCTCTCACTTCCTCTCTCCATCTTTAGTTCTCAGTCTTGATTTTCTGTCTCCTTCACTCAGTTTTTCTATCTCTTGCTCCCTGTCTCTTCACCTTTCTTTCAGATATTTTCTTCTCTCTCTTTCTCAACCTATCTCTGTTTCTGCCAGTCCATCTCTCCCTCCCCCTTGTCTCTCACTTTCTCTTCACCTCTCTCTCTGACTCTCTTGGTCCCGCCTCTCTACATCTACTGTCCCTCTCCCCACAGGCTGAAGGATCAGGGCCATATCAGGTCACAGCCCCGAATGCAGATTCCTGGGAAGTGGGCCACGAGGGACTAGGGTGCAGGGTGGGGTGAAAACAGTTTCAGGGACTCCCCCTTCCATCCTTTCCTCTTCACCCCCCACCCACCCTGTGTTGTGACGGGAGCTGACATGTCGTGGGCTGCAGCCGCCACAGGGGGAATCCCTGCATGAAGGTTTTGCCTGGAGCAGAGGCATAGCATGAGTGCGTGAGTGAGTGTGTGTGTATGTGTGTAGGCATGTAGGGGGCCTTGTGTGTGCTCACTGATGTGAGCACAGAAGTCTGTCCCCTGCTTGGGAGCTCAGAAGAGCCCAGAATGAAATCAGGCTCCAAGAAAGACTTCCCAAGGCTGAGCAGGGAGACTGAGGAGGTTTTCTCAGCCTCTCCCACCTTCAGACTCCCCTTACTTCTGATAAAGGGTGGTGGTGGGGGGGAGGGGTGTTACCTGTAACATTTATTGAATACTTACTGTGTACCAGGCACTGTGCTCAGGGCCCCCAGGAATAAGTTCACTGAACCTTTGCAACAACCCGGTGAAGATGGTACAATTATCCCATTTTATGAAACAGGAAAGTATGGCCTAGTTAGGGGAAAACATTGGTTTGGGGATCACAGAGCTGGAAATCAGGACTTGAACCTGAGTCTGTCTGATTGCAAAGCACTTGCTTTTAATAACTGTGTGTACTTCCATGCCTGCCACGAAATGGGCACTTGATGATAATAATAATAATTAACATTCATTGAACATATTTTATGTGCCAGGCACTGTTCATAAGTAGTACACGATGCTCATTAATACATTTAACCCTCACAGAGGTAAGGCCTGTTTTTTTAATCTCCTTTTTACAGATGAAGAAACCGAGATTCAGAGAGGTTCAGACACTTGCCCGAGGTCACACAACTAGTAAGTGTCAGAGCTGGAATTTGAACCCAGGGAATATGGCGTTGAAATCTATAAACTTAAACCCTAATTAGTAGTGAGTTTTCTGAATGTCCAGTGAAGGCCCAGCCAGGGCCAGGTGTCAGCCCTCTGGTATGGGAGATTATGAGAGGTCTGGGCAGAGGTGGGGGATAGGACACTCAGGGGTGGGACAGTGGTCGATTACCAAGCAGCACTGAAATACTGTTATCTTTTAACAAGTGCATTTCTGCTGATGACCAGTGCTGTCACTGTCCTACAGGACCTGGTTGTCAGGAAGGGAGGGATCTGGGTCAGACTCCTAGCAGAACATCCCAGGGCAGCCAGGCTGGCGAGCAAGCTCTATGCCTGGGTAACCCGCCTCCTTCTCCTTCAGGTATTACTGTCCACTCCTCCCACCTCTCCAGTGCACCATGGCCCCGGGCCCCTTCTCCTCCGCGCTGCTCTCGCCACCGCCTGCTGCCCTGTCCTTTCTGCTGCTACTCTGGGCGGGGGCATCTCGGGGCCAGCCCTGCCCTGGCCGCTGCATCTGCCAGAACGTGGCGCCCACGCTGACCATGCTGTGCGCCAAGACCGGCTTGCTCTTTGTGCCGCCAGCCATTGACCGGCGTGTGGTCGAGCTGCGGCTCACAGACAACTTCATCGCCGCCGTCCGCCGCCGTGACTTCGCCAACATGACCAGCCTGGTGCACCTCACCCTCTCCCGTAACACCATCGGCCAAGTGGCAGCCGGCGCCTTTGCGGACCTCCGCGCCCTCCGAGCTCTGCACCTCGACAGCAACCGCTTGGCCGAGGTCCGTGGCGACCAGCTCCGTGGCTTGGGCAACCTCCGCCACCTGATCCTCGGCAACAACCAGATCCGCCGGGTGGAGCCGGCGGCCTTCGACGCCTTCTTGTCCACTGTGGAGGACCTGGATCTGTCCTACAACAACCTCGAGGCCCTGCCCTGGGAGGCCGTAGGCCAGATGGTGAACCTGAACACCCTCACGCTGGACCACAATCTCATCGACCACATTGCCGAAGGTACCTTCGTGCAGCTTCACAAACTGGTTCGCCTGGACATGACCTCCAACCGCCTCCATAAACTGCCCCCTGATGGACTCTTCCTGAGGTCCCAAGGCCCTGGGCCCAAGCCGCCTACGCCACTCACGGTCAGCTTTGGTGGCAACCCCCTGCATTGCAATTGTGAGCTGCTCTGGCTGCGGCGGCTGACCAGGGAGGATGACCTGGAGACGTGTGCCACCCCTGAGCACCTCACTGACCGCTACTTCTGGTCCATCCCTGAGGAGGAGTTCCTGTGCGAACCCCCGCTGATCACACGGCAGGCGGGGGGCCGGGCCCTCGTGGTGGAGGGCCAGGCAGTCAGCCTGCGGTGCCGTGCGGTGGGTGACCCTGAGCCGGTGGTGCATTGGGTGGCACCTGACGGGCGGTTGCTGGGAAACTCCAGCCGGACCCGGGTCCGGGGGGATGGGACACTGGATGTAACCATCACCACCTTGCGGGACAGCGGCATCTTCACTTGCATCGCCTCCAATGCCGCGGGAGAAGCCACGGCACCGGTGGAGGTGTGCGTGGTGCCTCTGCCTCTGATGGCGCCCCCGCCGGCTGCCCCGCCGCCTCTCACTGAGCCTGGCTCCTCTGACATTGCTACGCCCGGCCGACCTGGTGCCAACGAATCGGCTGCTGAGCGCCGGCTGGTGGCGGCGGAGCTCACCTCCAACTCCGTGCTCATCCGCTGGCCAGCGCAGAGGCCAGTGCCTGGCATCCGCATGTACCAAGTCCAGTACAACAGTTCTGCGGATGACTCCCTCGTCTACAGGTGGGTGCCTTAGTCCCAGGGCCTCCTCACACATAAGGGCCCCCCTCCCTCCCGCCCCCTTCCTTGGCCTTCCTGCTCAGCTGGGGTTCTAGATGGCCATGCGGAGTTGCTCTATCTTCTTCTGCCTCTATCTCTGTCTCACTGCCCGTTTTTTGTACGTTTGGCAAATCTTTGTTGAGCACCCACACGAGCCAGACTGGGCACTGGAGCTATAACAGTGAATGTGCCCAGCATGATCCCTGTTCCCATGGGGCTCATGGTCCACATTCCTGCTTGCCAGAGGTGTTTGATTGTGTACCTTGTCAGTTAAACATTTTTGAGCATGAAATACACACACACACACACACACACACACTTAACAGTTATGTTTATATTTATAAATTATATGCCAGTGTTTCTGAACCAACACATTGGGTACATTATAGAACAGAAAATCAAAATATATAACTATAAGTTATTTTCACTATCCACTGGGTTAGAAGCCATTGCTCTGGTGTCAACAGACCTGTATGGTGTGGACAGACATTAAAGAGTTTCTTTCTCCCATCATCTTTCTTATTCTCTTACTTTTTTTTTTATCTTCACCCAAGAACATTTTTGCATTTATCTGCAGATAGAGTGGGAGGGAGAGAGAGAGGAAGAGAGAGAGAGAAACATTGATGTGAGAGAAACACACATTGACTGGTTGCCACCACATGACCCCAACCAGGCCGGGGACAAACTGCAACCGAGATACATACCCTTAGCGGGAACCGAACCCAGGACTCTCTGGTCCGTAGGCCAACGCTCTAACTGCTAAGCCAAACCAGCCAGGGCTTATTCTCTTACTTTCACATCTTTCTCTGTCTGTCCATTTCTCTCTCCTGCCCTGGTTAGGCACTGAGCCCCTGCTCTGTGCTAGGCCCTGAGCAGGGTGCTGGGGACACAGGGAGACCAAAAGACCAGTTCCTGCCCTCAGGGAGCTCACGGCCCAGAGGAAAGAGGTAGCTAGTATATGCTGAATTATTGCCTTGGCCTTGCAATGTCCTTCATCTTGGTAGCTTTTTAAGCATGGCTCACAGCCACAGATCTGGCACACAGTAGGCGCTTTCCCATTGTTGGCTGAATGAGTAAATGCCTCTCTTTTCCTTTGTCTCTGCCATCCTCATTTTCTTCTCTTTTAGAATCTGGTTACCAAACACTGAGTAGATGCTTACTGCATGCCAGATTCCATGCTAGGCACTGGGGCCACCAAGAGAGACCAAACACTGGTCCAGTTTTACAAACATTAGGGCAAACAAATGAACAAAACAAAAACCTTTCTAAGGTACTACCAAGGGTGCTACCTCATTTGATCTTTCCAATTCTGATGTGAAGCAGTGACAACCCCACTCCCATTTTATAGATAGGGAAACTGAGGCTCAGTGGAGGGAAGTCATTTGCTCAAGGTTACACAGAAAGTGGCAGAGCCAGGATTCCAGCTCTTAATCTTCTAACTCCTAATCCTGCCCTTTTTACATTGAACACACATTTATTGAGCACCTACTGTTTGCCAAGCAGAGATTAATGGAGCTGGATAATACATTTCTGTAAATAACTCTTGATTTGTGACCCTCCACTTCTCTGTTTCTTTCCTTCCCTCTCTAACCTATGGCCACTACATGGGGGAGAGGGGTGCAAGGAGGTTTGCAGGCCCCCAGACCCTGCATGTATTCAGATGTTGATAGCCCTCTGTCCCTAGCTAGGCAACAGACCTGGGGGCTCTTCCCTTTCCCTAAGGGCCACAGTTCTATGTCCTCCATCCTCCATTGCAGACACCTGTGCTGTGGTGCTGTAGGGGTTAATTTCCTCACTGCTGCTATGGGTGGAGGTGACATCCAACCAGAAGCCTGCTCTGCTGCTTGCTTGGGTCTTTCAGCCAATTAGAGACATGTGGGCTCAAGCTTTCTTAATGAGCCAGCCTCTGTCCTTGAAACGGGGGAGGGGGCTAGCAACTGTTTTTTTTAGAGGAAGGAGTGAGAGGAATCCAAGTCTGTCTGAAAGGGGAGATGGAAGGAAAAGGAAGACCATGGGGCCCACGGTTGGGATGCATGGGGGTGGGGGTGCTGTTAAATGGCAGGCAAGGGGAGAGTTAGAGAAGTGGGTGGGCCTTTTTAAAGAGGTAGGACGCTCACTTAAAGTCTTTTGGTTAGAGGGTGACATTTGGTGGTGGGGAACCTCCAGGAGGTGGGACAACTGAGGTGAGCGTCAGCTTCCGAGTGGTAAGAGGCCTATGGAGATGGGGGCATGGCCTCTCAGAGGAGGTGGAGTTCCTGCTTCATGGTCTCATGCAGATAAAGATGTGGTCCCTGTCTCTGGTGACCCATTAAGACCTCTGTGGGAGGGGAGAGCTTGTGGGGCTGAGTGCTGGGCATGCAAATCCATGTGGACGTGGCAGACCTGGGTTAGCCAGGGCGGACATGACCAACAGTGTGGGAAGGGTGTGTCCAATAGAAGGGGCAGGGCCTAGTGGGGACGGTCTTGTAGATGGGGGAGGGTGCAACTGGCAGTGGAGTGCGAGCCACAGCAGGGCTTACTGGCCAGTGTAGGGTGGGATGCAAGCTAATAAGGATGAAATTATTAAGTGCCAGGTGTTGGGTATGTTAACTCATTCATACTCCACAGCATCTCTATGATGTTCTAATTCTTAATATCCCCATTTGGGGGAAATGAGGCACCGAGTGGTTAAGAAACTTGCCTAAGGTCACAGTTAGCAAGTGGCAGACAAGAGATTCAAACCCAGGCAGTCTGGCAGTCAGCTTAACCACTTCTTTGCACTGTCCCTCATTTGAGGGCAGGGACCTAGAGCAAGAAAGGGGCATGCTTACTTGGCTCCATTTGACCCAATTATGACTTACCTGGGTGTGTGATTTGGTAACTTGTGGTGGTATAGGACAGGGCCCACACAGAGCAGTTTCAGGTCATGCAAAAAGTGGACACAGACACATTCACAGCAGGGGCATCATTCCTAGTGGGCCATTGTGGGGTGTGGTGCAGGAATGTGTAGTTGAGGGGCTTGGAAATTGTCTCTGAAGATAGATGTGGCTAGGAGAAAAATTTACCGAAAGATGGGACATGCAATTAAAGGGAGTGGCCTGTACCATGTTTCCCTGAAAGAGCAGGAGTATGTAGAAAAGAGGAACTAGAGGCCCTGTCCGGATAGCTCAGTTGGTTGGAGCATCATCCCCATACGCCAAGGTCTTGGGTTTGATATCCGGTCAGGGCACATACAAGAACCAAGCAAGGACTGCATAATTAAGTGAAACAACAAAAATCAGTATTTTTCTCTCTCTCTCCCCCCACTCCTTTCTCTCTAAAATCAATAAATAAAAATTAAAAAAAAAAAAAAAGGAACCAGAAGAGCATCCATTGCTCCACTAGGAGTAAGACAGGGGGTGTGGCCCTGGCCCCTGTGACTCGGTTGAGCGGCCTCCTAGGCCAGCTCAATCCCAGGGTCCCCGTGCCTGTGGGAGGCAGCCCATTGATGTTTCTCTTACTCTTCCTCTTTCTCTGAAATCAATAAAAACATTAAAAAAAAAAAAAAAAGACAGGGGATGTGAGTTGACCTCAGTGTCCACTTGAGTTAGGGTGGGGCATGCTGGTAGGGGGTGTGGCCTGTAGTAATGGACCTCCTTAAAGGGCAGAAATATGTAGATAAGAGACCTTGAATGGCAGTTCTTATTTCCCTAATATGGTGAGACCCCACTAGGGGGCGTTCCTCTTGGGGGTAAGGAATAAAGCTATAGCACCCCTCTCATGCTGGGACTAGGATATGTAGATGAGGGAACTGGAAAGACAGATACTGTCCTACTTGGCGATTAGACAGACCGGGCAGAGCATACAGAGGAAGGGCGGGGCCTGTAGCGGTGGTCCTGAAAAGTTAAGTTTGTTGTTGGAATGGCAGCTGTTGTCCTGGTAGAGCGTGAGATACCGATAGGACGCATGGTTTGGTTCCCACTGGTCACCGCGGGTGGGACATACAAGTGAAATGGCTTGGTTCAGAGTGGAGCTAACCCCACGCTGATCCCGCCCCCTCCCGCAGGATGATCCCCTCCACCAGCCAGACCTTCCTGGTGAATGATCTGGCGGCGGGCCGCTCCTACGACTTGTGCGTGCTGGCAGTCTACGACGACGGGGCCACAGCGCTGCCAGCCACGCGAGTGGTGGGCTGCGTGCAATTTACCACGGCTGGGGATCCGGCGCCCTGCCGCCCGCTGAGGGCCCACTTCTTGGGTGGCACTATGATCATTGCCATCGGGGGTGTTATCGTCGCCTCTGTCCTCGTCTTCATCGTTCTGCTCATGATCCGCTACAAGGTCTACGGTGATGGAGATGGCCGCCGCGTCAAGGGCGCCTCTAGGTCGCCCCCGCGGGTCAGCCACGTGTGCTCGCAGACCAACGGCGCAGGCGTGCAGCAGTCCCTGCCAGCGCAAGACCGCTACGAGGCCCTACGCGAGGTGGCAACCCCGGCTGGTGCTTCAGTGGCAGTCGAAGCAAAGGCCACGGTGGTAGAGACGGCTTCCTCAGACCCAGAGGCGGTCCTTGGACGCTCCCTGGGCGGCTCGGCCACCTCGCTGTGTCTCCTGCCGTCGGAGGAAACCTCCGGGGAGGAGCCTCGAGCTGCGGTGGGCCCTCGGAGGAGCCGTTCTGGGGCCTTGGGGCCGCCAGCTTCGGCTCCCCTCACTCTCGCTCTGGTTCCTGGGGGGACCTCGGCACGGCCAAGGCCTCAGCAGCGCTATTCGTTCGATGGGGACTATGGGGCGCTCTTCCAGAGCCACAGTTACCCGCGCCGCGCCCGGCGGACAAAGCGCCACCGGTCCACACCGCACCTGGACGTGGCCGGAGGGGACGCGGCCGGGGAGGATGGAGACCTGGGGCTGGGCTCCGCCAGGGCACGCCTGGCCTTTACCAGCACCGAGTGGATGCTGGAGAGTACCGTGTGAGCGGCGGGCGGGCGCCGGGACGCCTGGGTGCCGCGGACAAACGCCCAGCCCCCCAGATCCCGGGGCAGGACACGGGGGAGAAAGCACAGCGCCAAGACCTCTGACTGGAGGGGAGATGGGCCCCTACTCCTACTCCTCCCCCAGGGGGCGCTGCGGCTTCAGGCTAAGGCTCGAGGCCACGCCCCTGTGTCCTGGGGAGTTTGGGGGCAGGTCGCTGGGCTCTCCCGCGAGGACTCCTCTCCACCTCTTGCCCCTCCCCCAGCGCGCTCGCGGACCTCGCTGGAGCCGGTGCCTTACACAGCGAAGCGCGGGGAGGGGCAGGGCCCCCCGACACTGCAGCACTGAGACACGAGCCCCCTACCCCCGCCCGGGACCCGGGGCAGGGGCCAGGGGCCAATTTCTTGTATCTGGCTGGACTAGATCCTATTCTGTCCCACGGCGGCCTCCAAAGTCCCTACCCCCAGCCCATTCACCTCCCTGGTCCCGTGGGGTCTGGCTTGGGATCCCCTTTTCTCTGTCCCCCTCTTTTGTCTCTGTTTTTTCTGTCTTATGTCTCTATCCTTCCCTATTTGTCTATCTTTTCTCTGTCCCATTGTCTTTTCTCCTTCTGCCCTCCCATGTTTTGTCATCATCCTGTCTCTTCTGATGACCCCCCTCCCCGCCCCTAGTACACATTCTCCTGGGCAGGTCCCACTGGAAGGACCAGGCTCTCCCCTATTCCTTCCTCATTCCCCAAATAAATCCTCACATGAACAAAATCCAAAACAAGGTCCTTCTCCCTACCGGAGCCAGGACCCTCCGCCGCAGCAGAATTAAACCTTTTTCTGTGTCTGAGGCCGCTCTGCTGACCTCTGTGTGTGTCCTTGTGTCTTTGGGGAGTGTGTGTGTGTGTGTGTGTGAACTAGATTACAACATAAGGACTAAGTGAAACTGAAGGAAGGATGGCTAACTGGGACCAGGGAGACTTGCAGACAATTTCCTGTCCTCTGAGAGACATAGAGGTGGGAAATAATAATAATAAAAAAAGATAATAGTTAACATTTAGTGAGTGCTTACTATGTACCAAGCACTTAAGTCATTTATTCCTCACAACAATCCGAGAACATATTACGGTTATCCCATTTTACAGATGAGGACATTGATACTCAGAAACATTAAGTAACATGCCCATGGTCACATAACCAGAAGGTGGCAAAACTGGGATTTGAAAAGGCAGACAGCCTCCCTTCTGAGTCTGTCCTCCTAACCACAGAACTACTGCTGAGCAGTTAGTGAATGCTCATTCCACATACAGGTATTGTGCTAAACACAGCTCCTCTCTGAGGTTAGGCAACTGACCAAGGTAGATATCTTTGGTTCCATTTTACAGACGGGAATCTGAACCAGGGAGAATTGAAGTCATTTGCCCAAAGATCCCCAGTGAAGAAACAGTGGAGCTGGCAGTTTGATCTCAGTGTCTATCTGTTCCTAACCATTATACTCTGTTGCATCTGGAGGCTGGGGAATGGCCCCAATGACCTTTGCTGAGCATGAATATCCAAAGCCAGCCATGGGAGGGAGGGAAGAGGGAAAGAGCTCATTGGTTACTCTGTCTGAAATGTGGGGGATCATAAGTGGAAAAGGGCTCTGCTGTGGGCACAGAGGATGGCGTGGGGAGGAGAGTTTCAGGTAAGGTTGAGGATTGTGGCTGGGGAAGAAAAGTTAGTTGGAGGCACCCCAACCTTTGTTGGGGGAGCCCAGCCATGAAAACTTCCTGATCCTAAAAAAGAAAGAAAATTCATTCCAGCCAGGGGCCCCCTGAGGCTTGGGGAGGAGGAGAGAAAGACAAAAATAGAAACAGAGCAGGAGGGAGGGGGATGATCTGGGCAGACAGGGTGGGAGGCAGCAAGGACAGGCACCAGAGAATCACAGGCCAGGAGGCTCCCTCACCCAGTGACCCAGCCACACTTATCTATCTCAGTCATCACGACTCCTGGGTACTGAGAGCTACCCACACGCCAGGCATTGTGCTCACAAATCCTCCCTGATGCATGAAAAGAGAGCATGCAACCCAGCACCGGGCACATAACGCTCACAAAACGAAGTTACTTTCATAGTAAGCATGATTGCATTTATACTCCGCATCTGATGTGTAGTGTGTGCACCCACGTTTCTAGATGAAACAGTTCAGAGGTTAAGGAGCTTGCCCAAGATCATACAGCCAGTAAAGCTGTGATTAGAAACTGTACTGCCCTAAGTCCTGCATACCTAATCATCTGACTATATTGTCTTTGAGTCACCTGATTTGACTTTATTGAGCATGTACTATGTACCTGCCCTGCACAGGGGATACAGTGGTGAACAAAATAGACAAAATAAGAAACCCCTGTCCCTTGTGGGGAGACATTAAACAAGCAAGTAAATATGTAATGAGTGTCTGGTGGTTAATAAGTGCCATGAAATGAATGAAAACGGGGTGATGGGACAGAGAATGACTGAGAGGCCTACTTTAGATTTGGGGTGGGGATCAAGGAAGGTGATGGAGCTGAAGAAACCCATTGTGGGGAGAGCCAGGGAAAGGCATTCTTGGCAAAGTAGCATGTGCAAAGGCCCTGAGAAAGGAGTGTGCTCGGTGTGTTGGAGGTAGTGTGTCTGGACTAGAGTGAGGGTGAGAGTGGGAGAAGAGCAGGTGGGAGAGGCAGGCAGGGAGTGGATTCTATAGAGCCTTGTGGTCTGTGGTCAAGAGTCAAGATTTTCTTCTCAGAGTTGTAGGAAGCCAAGGGAAAGTTGTCAGCAGGGTGGGTATATGGTCTGATTTCTGTGGACATCCAAGCTTTGGAGTGGTGTGTACCTACGGTCAAGACAAAATCAGGAACTGTCATCTCAGAACATGACATCCATCCACTGCCAAATTTGGGGCCCACATGGCCCCTGGTTTAGCTCTTTGGAGGGCACCCACCACCTTCTTTCTCCTGTAAACCTAGGTTCTTCATTGAATAGAGAATCAACGCCAGTGACATGTTTATTTTTTCAAAATTGAGAGCTTTAAACCCAAGGGACAGGTACATCAGTGAGAGAGAGCATGGCATCTCCCAAGGGAAGTGTTTGAACATTTGTTCTGTGGCTGGCCCTGTGCTGGGCACTGTAGACCCAGCAGTAACCAAAACACCTAGTCCCCGCCTTCCTGGACAGACACATGACAATGGGTCCGTCTGTGATGGAAAAAGAAAAGGAGAGTGTAGGAGCCCAGAGGAGCTCTCTGACCCCACCTGCATGTTCAGGGACATGTATTAAGCCAATGGTAGCAAGTCATGGGTACATACCTTAACAGAACTGGCATAAAAAGCAGGCATTTGCTGGGTCATGTAGCTGGTGAAGAGACAATTTAGGGTAAAGCAACAAGGAACTTGGCCTTGGAGACTGGACCCCAGACTCAACTCCACCAAGACACTCTCCTACTAATTTCTCTGTTTGTCTCAGTTCGTATTCACCCCCTTCAACTGCGTGTGCTGGGAAATGGCCATTTATTTGCAGACATAGACCCAATCCTTCCAGCACCATAGCCCAGAGGGAAAACAGAAAAATCTCCAGTCTAAATGAAAAAAAAAAAAAAAAAAAATCCTAGGGAAGGGTTTGGATTAGACCGATTGGGGTCACATGCCACCACTGCACTGGCTGTGGCATCCAAGGGGATGGAATGCTTTGATTGGCCAGGTAGAGGTTGGTTTAGCCCTGAGTATTCAGGTGTCAGGGTTGGGTGACCTGGGAGAAGGGGCTGGATAAAACATTTTTTTTAGTTTGAATCATATAAAATTGCCAGTTTCATAGGTCAGAAATGGCAATTTCATATGGTCAGATGGGAAAGCTTGTTGGTCCTATAAAAGTAATAGGAATCCCAGTGGACCACTCCCAAGGGTGTTTGGAAGGTAAGATGATATTAGCTGAGACAGGGGAATGAATGGAAATTAACCAGGTATAGGATGGTGATGGCGGGTGAGTAGGAGGGCATGTTTCAAGTAGAGGAAGTAGTTTATGCAAAGGCTGTCACGAGGGAGGACCAGGGAAGGCTTGTCACTGTGGTCCAGAGACTCGGGTTTGAGTCTTGTGTCCAACCAAGTGAAGGGTGGGGAAAGCAAGCTTTAGCGGGAGAAATGGTTGCTGGGCAGGTAACACCAAATATATCCAGTTCAGAATTTCTTTGTTAGGCCTTTGTCTCTCCAAGTGGAAATCTGCAACCTTATGTCTGTTACAGCACTCATATTGGAAAGGGTCATATGCCTGAACTCAGACATGTCCTACAGGATTCAAATTCTTACTATCAAATATTAATTGGCCACCTTCTCTGGGTTCTGTGCTGGGCATGCAGAGATGGATTTGTGAGGACTCTCTTGACTGCTAACAGAAAAGCCAATTAACATGACTGAAGACATTTGGTTATCTTATTTAATAGGAATTCTGGAGTTAGGGGGTTTGGAGGTTTGGTGCAATGGCTTATTGATATTACCAAGGACCCATTTCCCACCCTTCTGTTTTACCTTCATATTCTAGGCTTGTTGTCTCATGGTCACAAAATGGCCACCAGAGCTCCAGGGTTCACATCTTCATACCAATGAACTAAGTAGGAAAGAAGGGAACAAATAAATGGAAGTTTTCTTTGTGCTAAGGAAGAAAAAAATTCTAAAATAATAAGAGTAACAGCAATAAACATATATATGAGGCTTAACCTGTTTCAAAAATTATTTTAAATTATTTACATGAATTAACTCATTTAAGAAGCCCTTTAGTCCTATGAACCCTCCAAACTGCAAGGGAGTTTGGGGAAGCAGGTGTCGAGGATGGGGGGATGCTGCCCGCATCCAAACTGGGGTTCTATCACTTTCAGACCATATAATTCAGCGGCATGGCTGTGGGACTCTATGTCATTTCTAGTGTATGGCTGTACTCCAGCCTTTTTCTCCTACGTGAGAAAACATGAGAATGCAAAGGAGTGAGATTTTGAATTATGGGGATGATTCTGAAACCCTTGTAATGTGACAAGAACTCAACCATTCAAAAAGTTCAGTGGGTTACTCTTGGTAATAAATTTCTTGTAACACGCCTCATAAGGGACTGATATATATTGCCTCATCAAAAACAACAACAACAACAAACAAACAAAAAAACAACTTAGTGGCACAAAACAACAATTATTTTATTATGCTCCCAGGTTCTGTGGGTCAGAAACTTGATCATGGCATAGTGGGAATAGCTTGTCTCTGCCCCAGCTGGGGGTTGGAATCATCTGGACACTTCTCATGTATCTGGTTACTGAGCTGGGATGACTGCAAAGCTGAGTTCAGCTGTGATTGTCAGAGTATGTTCATGTGGCCTCTCTGTGTGGTTGGGCTTCTTGCAGCGTGGCAGTTGAGTTCCAAGAGGGACAGTCTGAGAATGTGTGTTAGGTGGACTAGGTTTTGGAAGCCACATGACTTGACTTCCACTGCATTCTATTGCATGAAGAGTTCACAAGTTCAGGTTCAATGAGAGGAATATATTGACTCTACCTCCTGAAGAGAGAAATGTCAAAGAATTGGTGGCCACTTTTCAAAAACCACAACACATACCGTGCATGAGCTAGAGATGCTCGCAAGCTATTTAACAACTACATTGTTGTTAGAATCAAAGTGCATGCTGGCCACACATTGGAGCAGATCATGGGACACCTCCCCCACCCCCATATCAGGTACTTATTCTTTCATTTCTGAATCGTGGGACAGCATGAGTAGGGTGGGTCTGCTTAGGGGGATCTTGGGGAAATAGCTATTTGCCAACTGGTATGAAAGTATTTCAATATTTTAACAACAGAAACAATGCTCCCATTGGGGGCCCACTGGATATCAGTCCCATAAGAGATTCACAACCTTAGAACCTCCACGTGTCATTGTAGGCTGCTCCCTCGGTCTGTCTCCCACCTTTGCTGGTAGGGCTCTAAATTTGTTCAGGTATTCACCATCCATGAGACACATTTCCCCTAGCCTGAGAGGTGGATCTTGATTAGTCTAACACTATCTTTGTCATTATACCTTCCTTGCCAGTGATTGGGTTAGACTTGGGCGTATGACTAAATTCTAGCCAATGAGACAAGCAACTCCAACAGGGAGTTTCTCTGAAAGATTTTCTTTGCTTCTAAGAACGGTGGAAGAATCAAGTCCCTAAACATTATGAAGCAGAGGCAAGTTATCCACACTGGACCTTGTCCAAGTTTGTGACTCGCAGAATCAAAGAACATAAATAAGATGGTTATTGTTTTACTCCATTAAGTTTGGGCTGGTCTGTTATGACTTGGAAGCTATTGTTTATGTGTGGCAGCTGGAGCTATGACTGCCATCTTGAGACCATGAGGTAACCAGAATAAGAATCAGTCTACAGAAATGGAAAGAACCTGGTTTCTCAGTGATATTATTGAATGAATGAATGAATGAATGAATGAATGAATGAATGAGTCTTAGAACTTCCCTGCCAACTGACATTTTATGTGTGATAATAAACTCAGTTTTGTTCTACTTATTTCAGTTTGGTTTTTGATACTATAGGATAAGGCATCCTGACTGATATAGGCCTTATCTGTCCTAAGTACACATGGAAAAGAGAGATATTTAGTTCACAGACAGGGAGACTCAGAGAGACATATAAATATGTGCATATACACCCACACATTTGCACACATGTGGACATGAATATGTCGTTATGCATCCTCAATTAGACTCAGGTTCAAGTAGACATTCACTTGGATACATATACACACACAGTCACAGAAGTCAGGCACATAAATATACACAACCAGTCACAAATTTTTTTTTTTTTTTTGTACGTGCCCCTAGCGGGAACCAAACCCAGGACTCTCTGGTCCGCAGGCCGATGCTCCAATCGCTGAGCCAAACTGGCCAGGGCAACCAGTCACAAATTTTGCCTGCACCACACAGACATCCACACTCAGTCACAGAAATACAGTCACACACACAATCAAGGATTCACTAATCACAAAAGTTCTAATTTCTTATTGTTTATTTGAACATATTATATAAAAGTAGAAAAATAAACATGTCTTTTAAGCCTGAGTCAGGGCTATATCTTCATAAATAAGGGATGAGAGGAAATAACTTAAGACAGGGGTGGGGCTTAGTATATAAATAAGGTTTGGGCTCCTAGGTTAGCTGTGGGTGGGTCTAGGTTCTGACGCACAGATCTCCCTCAGCAACACACTTCAGGTCACATGCGAGGAGCCGGAAGAGGTTGAATGTGACAGTGGCTTCAAGGCAGTCCTGAGACACCTGTGGAAGAGATGAGAACATGGTTTCCCATTGCTTGGGCTTCAGCTTCTTCCCTTACCCAAATCCCAGGCATCCATCCTCCCCTCTAGTAACTCACCTTCTCCGGGACCTCCTGGAGCTGGTGCAGCCAATCCTGGAGGAGGCCACAAGGTGTGGGGCCTGCTACGGGCTGAGTTGAAACCTGTGGGCAGAGGAGGGTGGTATGTGAGGCAGTGTCTAGAATGAAGGGGAACATACACCATAAACATGGTCTGGGTACCTCGAACACTCACACAGGCCTGGAGCTTAGAGTGGATGTACTTCATTGTGTGAAGGGGCTGGTCCAGGACATCCTCAAGGGATGAGTCAGCCACAGTCTGCAGAACCTTCAGTGTCAGGGCCAACTCAGCTTCCAAGGCCACAGGGCGCTCCCACACCTGAAGTGAGAAAGTACAGGTGAGGGGGCAGGTGAGGTGGAAAGATGAAAAAGGATAGGCAGGCAGGCCCAATTAAGTGAGGACAGGTAGGGAGTATAGGGAAGGAGGGCAGGTGATAAAGGCACATGCGATGGGGACAGGTGATGGGTCAGGTGAGAGGAAACACATAAGGAAAGATGCAGATGAAAAAAATACAGGTAGAGCACAAAGATGCAGGAGGAGACAGATTGGGAGACAGGTAAAAAAGTGAAGTAGGGACAAATGAAAGGTGACTCCTGGGGGTCACAGAGGCTTGAGGGACAGAGGATGGTCTGTTATGACAGGTGAGAAGAGGCAGGTGAGAGGGGGACAATTAGATGTACAGGTAAAAAGGGTAGATGAAGGAGGAGTGTATGCTGGGACAAGATCAGTGGAAGAAGGATAGGTGAGTCAGTGGTGAGGAGAACAGGCGAGAGGGGAAGAGGAAATCAGTATTGAGAACAGACAATGACAAACTGGGCAGGGCAAGGGGCACAGGTGGGGAACAGACCTGGGAGTGGAGGTGAGAGGGACAGGCAGAAAGATAATCAAAGGGACCCAAGGTTAGGAACAGAGTCAAGGTCGCAGGACAGGTGAGGAGAGACACGAGAGAGGGAAGAACAAGTGAATAAAGGAGGCGACGGGCCACTTAAGGTGATAGGGAGAGGGGCCAGGAGAGGGTAAGTGTGGCCTCAGTTTCAACTCACTTGCAGCTCTGTCAGTGTCCAGGGCCGGGGGAAGAGGCAGGAGCTGCAGCTCTGGTTTTTCAATGACTTTTCCTAGAGAGCAAAAGCAAAGGTTAGGCCACAGTAGGATGCTAGCCCATAGAAGCAAGGATGAAGGTCTAGCAGGAGAGGATAGAGATTAGTCACAGCTGAAAAGCTAGAGGCTACCCCATAGCAGGAGAAGAGAGGTTAGTTCACAGGAGCAGGGCAGCAGCTTGGCCAAAGCAGGAGGGGTAGGGGTTAGTCTACATTGTAGAGTCTACAGAGACTCTACAACAATAGTGGTTCACAGGGCCAAGATAGTGGCATTGTAGGAGGATGCCCAACTCTTCCCCTCCTAGGAGCACATTGAAATATACACCTATATACAAAGCAATTATTCCTGAGACACAATTGATGGCTGAATGAACAGCTTCTGAACAATAAACTAGAGAAAGAGACTGAGTAGAGAAGACTGAGAAACTGTGGGAGTTCTCTAGGAGCTGTGGGAACTCTTTGGGACTGAGAGTGCCGGTAAGCAGCATTGTTGATGTCCCTCTCCATCATGATAGGGCACATGGAAGCTCTATTTGGGTGCTCTGGTCTACCTGCAAGGTCACTGCAGCATATTACCAGCAACACTGCCTGGAGCCCATTTTTACTCCAAACAAAGGGAGCAAGCAGGATCAACAGGATGTTACTACGTGCACCTGGTCTCCCCACCTGTAGCACCTCCATCTTACTAGGCTAATGCTCTGGCTACCATAGGCACCTGCTTGGCTCCACCTGGCTTGCCAAAACCACCCAGCACAAACAGCCTATGCAGAGGTCGGTTCTACACAAGGACATTTTTTTTCAAGACCAGGAGAGATAATTATTTTGTCTAATTTATCTAAACATAGAAATAAAACAAAATGAAAAGACAGAAGAATATCTTTCAAATGAAGGAACAAGAATATCTACTCCCTGCCCCAACCCTAAGGAAATGGAGATAAGTAATTTGCCTGATAAAAAAATCAAAATAAATGGTCATAAGGATGCTCACCAAATTTGAGAGTGGAACAGAGGAGTTTAGGGAGAACTTCAACAAAGAGAAAGTATAATAAAGAACCCAAAAGAGCTTAAGGATACATTTATTGAAATTGAAAATAGCCCTGGCCGGTTTGGCTCAGCGGTTAGAGCGTCGGCCTGCGGTCTGGAGAGACCCGGGTTCGGTTCCCGCTAAGGGCACGTACCTCGGCTGCAGTTTGTCCCCAGCCCTGGTTGGGTCGTGTGGGTGGCAACCACTCGATGTGTCGCTTTCACGTCGATGTCTCTCTCTCTCTCTCTCCCTCTCCCTCTATCTGAACAAAATATCAAAAAAAAAAAAAAAATGTCCTCGAGTGAGGATAAAATCAATAAAAAAAAACATATTTAAAAGAAATTGAAAATATATTTCAATAGAAGGAATCAACAGAAGATTAGCTAGTGCAGAAAAATGGAACAGTAACCTGAAAGATCAGACTAGTGGAAATCAACCAATCAGACCAGCAAACAAAACAAAACAAAAAACATAACAAACAAATGAACAAAAAAACAAGAATAGTTCAAGAGACCTCTGGGAAAACATTAAGATCACAAACATTGACATTATAGTGATCATCCCAAAAGGAAAAGGAAGAGAGAAAGGTACAGAAACTTGAAGAAATAATGGCTGAAAACTATTCTAACCTAGGAAAGGAAACAGACATCCAGGTCCAGGAAGCACAGAGAGTTCCAAACAAGATGACCCTGCAGAGGCCCACACCAAGACATACTGTAATTTAAATAGCAAAGTTAAAGATAAATAGACAATTTTGAAGGAAGCAAGAGGAAAACAACTAGTTACATACAAAGGAACCACCATAAGGCTATCAGCTAATTCCTCAGCGGCAACTTTATAGGCCAGAAGAGAGTGGCAAGACATCTTTAAAATGCTGAAAGAAAGAAATCTACAACCTAGAATGATTTATTTCACAAAGCTATAGTTCAGAATTGAAGGAGAGATCAAGAGTTTCCTGGATAAGCAAAAACTAAAAGAATTAATAACCAGCTTTACAAGAAATATATATATTAAAAAATGTTTTTTTCTTTATTGATTTTAGAGAGAGAGGGAGAGAGAGATAGACACATTGGTGAGAGAGAACATCAACTGGCCACCTCCTGCATGCTCCCCACTGGGGATTTGACCCACAACCTGGGCATGTGCCCTGACCAGGAATTGAACCTGCGACCTCTTGATGTATGGGTTGATGCTCAACCACGGAGTCACACAGGCTGGGCTTTACAAGAAATATTAATGGGTCTCCTTTAAGCAGAAAAGGAAAGGCCATTACCAGAAATATGAAAATATGGGAAAGGAAAGTATCTCACAGGTAAAGCCAAATATTTAATAAATACAGTGAATCAGACATTTAAAAAGCTACTATGATGGTCAAAAGACAAAAGTACCAAACTTAACTCAAAGACAAAAAATTAATAAAGAAATAATGGTACTAGCATGAAAACGGATATATAGATGAATGGGATAGAATAGAGAGCCCAGAAATAAATCTTCGCTTATATGGTCAATAAATCGATGACAAAGGAGGCGAGGATATACAATGGGATAAAGACAGTCTCTTCAATAAGTGGAATTGGGAAAACTGGACAAATATATGCAAAAAATAAAATTAGACTACTTTCTTATACCATATAAAAAATAAACTCAAAAGGAATTAAAGGCTTAAATATAAGACCTAAAAACATAAGACTCCAAGAAGAAAACGTAAGCAGTAAACTCTTTGACGATATCTTTTTGGATATATCTCTTTGAGAAAGAGCAACAAAAGAAAAATATAAACAAATGGGACTACATCTAACTAAAGAGTTTTTGCACGGCAAAGGAATCCATCATGAAAACAAAAAGACAACCTACTGAATGTGAGAAGACATTCGCAAATGATACATCCAATAGGAGTTAAGATCCAAAATACATAAAGAACTCATACAACAACAACCCCCGCCCCACCTAAACAATCCAATTAAGAAATGGGCAGAGGACCTGAATTGACATTTCTCCATATGAAAAGATGCTCAACATCACTCATCATCAGGACAACGCAAATTAAAACCACAATGAGATATCACCACACACATGTCAGAATGGCTATTATCAATAAATCAAACAAGTGCTGGTGAGGAGGTAGGTGGAGGAAGGGGAACCCTCATATGCTAGTGGTGGGATTGCAAACTAATGCAGTTGCTATGAAACACAGTATGGCGAGTCCTTAAAAAATTAAAAATAAAACTGCCATATAATCCAGCAATTTCATTTCTGAGTATATATCTGAGGAAAACAAAAACATTAATTTGAAAAGACATATGCACCCCCCTGTTCATTTCAGCATTACTTATAATAGCCAAGATATAGAAGCAGCATAGGGGTCCATTGATAGTGGAATAGCACTTTTCTCCCTGAGTTTGGGAAAAACACAAAAATAGTCACTATTATCACTTCTATTCAACACACCTTGGGGTTCTAATCAGTTTAATAAGGCAAGATAAATAAGAGGTGAAAAGAAAAAATAAAACTGTCATTTGTATTTGACATGTCTACATATGGGAAAAAAGAAACTAGAAGAATCTATGGCAAACTATTAGAATTAATAAGGGAATTTAACAAGAAAGTTAGCTTTAAGGCCAAAAAATAGTTCTCATCACAAGAACAAAAACTTCTGTAACCAAAAAAAAAAAATCTGTAACTATGTACAGTGATGGATGTTAACTAGACATTATGGTGATTATTTAGCAATATATACAAGTATCAAATCATGCTGTACACCTCAAACTAATATAATGTTGTATGTCAATTATACATCAATTAAAAGACAAACAAACCAATAGGTACTTACCAAGGCATTCTTGGCTTTCCTCATGGACTCCCACTCTGTTGATAACAGATATTTGAACATGCCAGTGTCACAGCCTGTCTGCATTGAGGGGGGCTTGGAGGTGGGGACAGGACCTGCTCTGGTCAAACCCAGGCCAGCAGCCACCAGCACCAGGAACCATGCTGCAGCCATGGCCAAATGGCAACTGCTTCTCCTGCTGCATGGCTCTGCTTTTATAATCCAGCTAAGTGAGCAATTCTGGCGGATGTGTGTAATGCCAAAAAGCAAATAGAAATTGCAATTGTAAAAGACATGAGCCTTATTGCGGCTCAGCCTTTTGGCTAAGATCAGGTGTAAAAGGTATGAATGGGTGGGGCCAGCTGGTAAACCAGGTGAACTCACCGGTGTGGGCGGGGCCAGGTGAGCCCAGAGGTCTGTGAAAAGAAAAGAGAAACCGAAATCAATCCCAAAAGGGATAATAAAAAAAAAATCCCCAAGCCTAGTTTAGGAGTTTCTGGGATTTGGGGGAGTCCCTGATTGAGACTGTGGCAGGTAGAAGGATAGGGAGTTGTCACAGCAGGGCAGGGGCTGGGCAGGGTGTATGGGGGCGAGGACAACTGAGTGACAGAGAGGGAGCTTCCTCCACTGGTTTAAGCATGTTCCACAAACTCACTCATTTTATGGTCCAAACATTTCTGTGAGAACATTAAGTCCTCACTTAATGTCCTCGATAGGTTCTTGTAACCCGTATAAATGAAACCAAATTGACCATTGGTGGATCAATATAAACAAGAGTTAAGTTCCTATGGCATATCTCTGGTCACAAAAACATCACCAAACTTCTAAGTTTTTTTCCCCTTTATGGATTTTAGAGAGAGAGAAGTGAGAGGGAGAGAGAGATAGAAACATTGAAGAGAGAGTACATCAATTGGCCACCTCCTGCATGCCCCTCAGTGGGGATCAGGCCTCCAACCTGCGCATGTGTCCTACCAAGGAATCGAACTGGCGACCTCTTGGTGCAAGGGTTGATGCTCAACCACTGAGCCACACCAGCTGGGCTCACACAGTCTTTAATCGTCAGAATGAACTTCTTTACACCAAGCTCTCTTTACATCCTGAGAGGGTTATGAAGAACAGTCTATTACAAGAGAAGGTTTTAGAATGTTTCCTTTCTGCCCTCTTGTCACTTTGTCCATTCATCCACCATCTATCCCCTTCCTCAGCACTGAGCCAAATCCTAAATACCACTCCTACTCAGAGAGTATCCATGGGGTCATGTCAGGATGCTAGATGATGGGGTGATGGGACACAATGATGGGGGAATATGTGTGGCAGTGTAGGAATAGAACCCAAAAGAAAAAATAATTTGTCACAGACTTGCTACCTTTCTCATTCTAAATATAAAGCAGAGTTTTGACTTACTCTGCAAAATAACATGAGCTAGTATCTGTCATTAAACTTTTCTTGAATAATAACTTGCACAACAGCAGTCGTGTCTTTACATGTGCGATTGAATCGTTTATAAAAGCAGGACATATCCCTGGCCAGTTTGGATCAGCGGTTAGAGTGTCGGCCCACAGACCAGAGAAGCCCGGGTTCAGTTCCCACTAAGGGCACGTACCTCGGTTGCAGTTTGTCCCTGACCCCAGGGGGTTGTGTGGGTGGCAACCAGTTGATGTGTCTCTCTCACATTCGTTGTCTCTCTCTCTCTCTCCCTCCTGCTCTATCTCAAGATAAATGCAAAAATGTCCTTGGGTGAGGATAAAAAAAAAAAAAAAAAGTAGGAAACAACCACGTCTATGATGCTAATGATTGCTCTGTATTGACTAGTTGACAACTGTCTCTATTGACAGTTGACTAGTCCTGTGCCACCTGATTGGATTTCATGTTATGTACTGTGACACCTTGAAGATGTTAAAGTTATAGGTTACTGAGGCCTCGGCTGCATCCAAATGGCCAGTAAAAGAGAAAAATCTAATAAAGTTGCCATATGTTGTTTAAAAATAAACAAAAAAACATTTCTAATATTAAACACCGAAATATATGTGAGCTATGCAAGCATTTAAGGAATGTGAGCCCTGGCCAGTTTGGCTCAGCAGTTAGAGCGTCGGCCTGCGGTCCCGAGAGACCCGGGTTCGGTTCCCGCTAAGGGCATGTACCTCGGTTGCAGTTTGTCCCCGGCTCTGGTCAGTCGTGCGGGTGGCAGCCACTCGATGTGTCCCTTCACGTCGATGTCTCTCTCTCTCTCTGTTCCTCTCTCCCCCTCCTACTCTACCTGAACAAAAAATGGAAAAATGTCCTCGGGTGAGGATAAAAAAAAAAAAAAAAAAAAAAAAAAGAATGTGAATACCCTGGCCGGTTTGGCTCAGCGGTTGGAGCGTTGGCCTGTGGACCAGAGAGTCCCAGGTTTGGTTCCCGCTAGGGGCACGTACCATAAATAAATAAATAAAAAGGAATGTGAATAAAACGGTCAGATTATGATTTTGCAGCCTGCTTTTCCCGTTCAGGGTGGTGGTTGGCTGGAGCCTTCCCAGGCCGCTCAGGGTGGGAGGCAACGCTCTCTGGACAGGAGCCCTCCGTGGCAGGGTCGCTCACAAGCCCATCCACATTCACTCAGAGGGGGACATTTTGGACGCGACAATTCACCTAACAGACACATCTTTGGGATGTGGGAGGAAACCGGAGTCCTTGGAGAAAACCCACGTGGACAGGAGGAGAACGTGCTAACTCCACACAGACAGTGCGCCCCGGCTGGGGATCAAGGTTTTTTCTCATCAATGGACATTGTAACAAAATGACATTGAATGAAACGTTACTCGAAGATCGCTGTCGCTGTTTTCAGGGTCACCCCCCCGTTATGCTTGTGAGGAAACTCAGAGAAAGGCAGGCAAAGTGCCTTTCCGAAGGCCCCACAGCTGGCTCCCAGCAGCGCTGGGCTTTGAGGGGAGTCCCAGACTCCGGCTCTCCTCTCCCCCAGGAAGCAGGACAGGGTAGGGAGCTTCTCATTCGCTGGAGCCAGAGTGCCTGCTGGGTTCGGGCGGGGTTGCCTGGGGTGATGGCAGTGCCAAGGGCTGGCTCCCCAGGCAGAGTCTGGCTGCTTTGCTATTGCTCACCCCCCCTCCCCCCAGCCTGTGGTAATATTTGTATAGCAGGTAGGGAATTGCTCTGCTATGCAGGAACTTATTTTCATTACTTTATATTTTTCTTGGCTCTTAGGTGCAGAAAATTATTAATCATACTCTTCAGATCCTAACAGAATCCCAATTGGCCCATGAGATTCTTTATCTGCCCCTCCCATGCCCAATTCCCACCCCACCCCTCCCACAGGCACCTACTGTAATGCACTTGATATATAGCTGCGAAGATGTATTTTTATAATTTGCAATTTTGTGTGTGTATGTGTTCCCAATGTACATAAATGGGATTGTGTTATAAATCTCATTCTATTTCTTTCTTTAAAATTTTTTTTTATTTTCTTTGTTGATTTTAGAGAGAGAGGAAGGGAGAGGGAGAGACAGAAACATCGAGGAGAGAGAACATTGACTGGCCGCCTCCTGCATGCCCCCGCACTGGGGATTGGGCCCACAACCTGGGCATGTGCCCTGACCAGCGGACCTCTTGGTGCACGGACGGGTTGACGCTCAACCACTGAGCCACATCGGCTGGGCTCATTCCATTTCTTTCTTTAAAAAACAAACAAACTTAGCAGTACATTTCTGAGATGATGCACAGTGGTGCACACTAAGTCCTCTGCTTCTAACTGCTGCACGGTGTCCCATGGTGTGCCCACAGCACGTCCATGTGTCTGCTCTTATCTGGTCCCCCAGTGATGGACCTTCAGTTGCCTTCAGCTCCCCTTCAGCACCAGGCTCCCACGGGCCCTCTCTGTGGAAGGTTTTCTAGGATACATCAGAGCACCCCAGCTCATTTTTCTCACTCGCATGTAGATATGGTAGGTAGTTCCCACATACGTTGACAGCTTCCCACCTCATGTGCTGGTATTGTTCTACTTCTCCATGGAGTTCCTTCTCCTGTCTGCACATGGGACAGGCTGGAAGTGCCAGGAATAATTCTTTTTTTTTTTTTTTATCCTCACCCGAGGACATTTTTCTATTTTTTGTTCAGTTAGAGAGGGAGGGAGAGAGAGGAAGTGAGAGAAAGAGAGAGGGAGAGAGAGGGAGGGAGAGAGACAGAGACAGAGAGAGAGAGAGGGAGAGAAACATCGACGTGAAGGGACACATCGAGTGGCTGCCACCTGCATGACCAACCAGGGCCGGAGCCAAACTGCAACTGAGGTACGTGCCCTTAGCGGGAACCGAATCCCCCTCTCTCTGGACCACAGGCCGACACTCTAACTGCTGAGCCAAACTGGCCAGGGCCAGGAATAATTCTTCAAGGGCAATTCACACTCAGTGGGGGCGGGAGCCAGTGAACAAATACTCTGCTTCCCTTTTCCTCAGTGGGCCAAGTCTGAGGCGTGCTCTGCACCATTCCTGAAGTCCCCCAAGAGTCCCTGTATGACTGAGCTCTATCTAGTTGCTCACGGAAGTAACCTTTGGGGTCAGGGACTAGGGTCGTTACCAGAAGGGGGTCCTGGTCCTTAGCAGGTCTGCCTAGGGCAGGCTGGTAGTGTGTGGCTTCCTGACTCCGTGCAGGAAAAATTTCACAGCCTGAGTCCAGATTTTCAGAGTGCACTTAGTAAAGCGAGGGAGAGTGAAACAAGGAAGGGCCGAGGAAATGAGCCCAGGCTGGGCTGCTTTGGCTCACTAAGAAGTCAGAGAAAAAGGGGCCTTGGGGACAGATTCAGGAGGTTTACCTGGGGTGAGCTGCCGTTGCTCATTGTTTTCCCGGCTGCAAGTCTCACGGGGTCCCTTAGAGTTTCAGAGGTGCATGTCTGTGGGGGAGGGGGGGGGGGGGAGGCAGGGCGTGCTCCTGGGAGGGAGAGTGCTTGCTGGGATCTTGGCTCTGAGGGGTTTTAAAGGCTGGGACTTCAGGGGAGGTCTCAGGGGAGGACCTCAATAGAATATTCATCAGTTTTATGCTGATGTGCCAAAATGAGATTTATTCCCTTACCTTCATCTGTCCTTGGGTGTGGTTGGCAAATGGCACTAAATGGATTCTTGCTGTCTCCCTGCGTAGGGTGATTTAAGCTATTTACCCTCTGGTTGGGGAGAAGTGCAAACCAGTGACTC